CTCGTAGAGGTGGTCACAGTCCTGCTGGTGGAGACGTACTCGTAGAGGTGGTCACAGTCCTGCTGGTGGAGACGTACTCGTAGAGGTGGTCACAGTCCTGCTGGTGGAGACGTACTCGTAGAGGTGGTCACAGTCCTGCTGGTGGAGACGTACTCGTAGAGGTGGTCACAGTCCTGCTGGTGGAGACGTACTCGTAGAGGTGGTCACAGTCCTGCTGGTGGAGACGTACTCGTAGAGGTGGTCACAGTCCTGCTGGTGGAGACGTACTCGTAGAGGTGGTCACAGTCCTGCTGGTGGAGACGTTCCGTAGAGGTGGTCACAGTCCTGCTGGTGGAGACGTACTCATGGAGGTGGTCACAGTCCTGCTGGTGGAGACGTACTCGTGGAGGTGGTCACAGTCTTGCTGGTGGAGACGTTCCCGTAGAGGTGGTCACAGTCCTGCTGGTGGAGACGTACTCATGGAGGTGGTCACAGTCCTGCTGGTGGAGACGTACTCGTGGAGGTGGTCACAGTCCTGCTGGTGGAGACGTACTCGTGGAGGTGGTCACAGTCCTGCTGGTGGAGACGTACTCGTAGAGGTGGTCACAGTCCTGCTGGTGGAGACGTACTCGTAGAGGTGGTCACAGTCCTGCTGGTGGAGACGTACTCGTAGAGGTGGTCACAGTCCTGCTGGTGGAGACGTACTCGTAGAGGTGGTCACAGTCCTGCTGGTGGAGACGTACTCGTAGAGGTGGTCACAGTCCTGCTGGTGGAGACGTACTCGTAGAGGTGGTCACAGTCCTGCTGGTGGAGACGTACTCGTAGAGGTGGTCACAGTCCTGCTGGTGGAGACGTACTCGTAGAGGTGGTCACAGTCCTGCTGGTGGAGACGTACTCGTAGAGGTGGTCACAGTCCTGCTGGTGGAGACGTACTCGTGAGGTGGTCACAGTCCTGCTGGTGGAGACGTACTCGTAGAGGTGGTCACAGTCCTGCTGGTGGAGACGTACTCGTAGAGGTGGTCACAGTCCTGCTGGTGGAGACGTACTCGTAGAGGTGGTCACAGTCCTGCTGGTGGAGACGTACTCGTAGAGGTGGTCACAGTCCTGCTGGTGGAGACGTACTCGTAGAGGTGGTCACAGTCCTGCTGGTGGAGACGTACTCGTAGAGGTGGTCACAGTCCTGCTGGTGGAGACGTACTCGTAGAGGTGGTCACAGTCCTGCTGGTGGAGACGTACTCGTAGAGGTTGTCACAGTCCTGCTGGTGGAGACGTACTCGTAGAGGTGGTCACAGTCCTGCTGGTGGAGACGTACTCGTAGAGGTGGTCACAGTCCTGCTGGTGGAGACGTACTCGTAGAGGTGGTCACAGTCCTGCTGGTGGAGACGTACTCGTAGAGGTGGTCACAGTCCTGCTGGTGGAGACGTACTCGTAGAGGTGGTCACAGTCCTGCTGGTGGAGACGGTCAGTTGAGCTCATCATCTTACAATTATATATTTGAAAATAAAATCCAAGCTTCGATATTTTGATGTCGCAAAATGGTTTATAACTTTTTCATTAAAATCTTTTATTTCTGTTATCATCATGTTTTCACTTGATATCATTGCCAGAGAGTCAATCTTTCACTCACCATTGTACTGAGCAAAAAAAGTTTTGATTCTCTTCAAGGTTGAAAAACATCTTTCTGCTGTTGTCATTGAAGTTATTAAAATTTTTAACAGCTTGACAGTTTCTGAAAATGTTGACGGCAGATGATTGTCGTTTATCATCTCTAGCAAGTCAATAAGTTTTTTCCGATTTCCAAAAATCTTCTCTGGAATACAGTACATATATAGTTCAGTTCTCTATTTATCTTTTTCGAGGATGAGATAGTCTGCAACTGCTCAAGTCCATCACTAGGAAAGTTTTCAGTATATGTTGAAAAATTACTCACTAGTAGTAACTGGCTTCCAAATGATTCGTGAAACTGAATCATAAACCATTTTTGCAGCGACTGTTTTATCTGTATTAGATTTTCTTCTCTTTGGTTCAGAAGACATTGTGGAAGCATCACCTTCATCTCTTAATTTCTGAACTGAAGAAGCAAAAGGTGTTAAAGAGGTATTAGCCTTAACTGCATTAATATTTCTAGACTGAAGCTGAGAAAACATGATGTCAACGTGAGGCATCACTTTGGAAAAATATTCCAACCAAAACTTAAATTCAGGATGACTCAGGATCCTCTTGATACCGGCTGCTGCAGCTCCAGTATCTCTCCTGTTACATGCTTCAAGAATAGTGCAACACTTAGCCAGTGCATCTTTCATCTCATGCACAACATTAACTGTTCTGCTCTTGAAATTTCAACGTGTTGCAGAAGGCCTTGGAATTCATGCGTGGTGGCCCAGCACTCATGAATTGTGGTGGCCCACCACTCATGAATTGTACTGTATTGTGGTGGCCCACCACTCATGAATTGTACTGTATTGTGGTGGCCCACCATTCATGAATGCAGTTAAATAAAAGAATATAAATAAACTGACTCTGTGCATCCACCATATAAAAAGAAGAAGAAAGAAGAAAAAAGAAACTAAGAAGACTATTCGGATTAGAAAAAAAAAGACAAGAGAAAAAGAAAAGTCAAGTAGTGTTAATCATATGCAGTGAGCCCCGGCAGACTGCAGCTCACAACACCTGACTAACACCTGAGTCTCTGACTAACACCTGAGTCTGACTAACACCCGAGTCTCTGAGAGGGTAGAAAAATGAAACACTTGTACAACTTGTCGATTTTCTAAACCATTTACATCAAGTCTGAATAGGTAACTTAGTATTAACTCAAGTTAGAATCCAATAAAAGGTTCAGAAAAAGGACAAGTTAATGGAGAGATTACAATGACTCTAGGCTGAGGGACTGATTACCTCAAACTCATCAATCTTCCACTGTTCTGTGTATTGGATTGAAGAAGCCATTGGCTGGCGAAACATTCCCTGAATAAAGATTCCCAAATGCTACATAAGTGTCTAACTTATGGTGTTAGACTTGTCTATGTCATCCAACTCGCCCGAAATACTGTGCTAGGCGTAACTGTCAGCCTTTTTTCTTGCTCCGATTCTTCTTGGGAAATTATATTTTCTTATTTTAGCTTCTTTTTGATCTTGTTTCACAATTAACTTATTAAAATAAAATAAAAATGTGAGTAATGTAGCCTAATTAGAAGAACGCGAACCATGTATTCCGGGAAGCTGACCAGCACTGAAAGTTTGAAGCCTGCTAGAAAAGTCATTCTCCAGTTATTACATGGACTCAAAAGATCTCAGCAGCGCTGTATGACCCTAGTGGGTTTAGCGCATGGTTTTGATTATAATAATTCAACGATTTCATTTTTGTTTTTGACTACGGTAATTTGGTATATTAACAACTTTGCCATCACACAAACTAAACTTAATGGTCACTACTATCCTGACCTTAATTAAGATACATCAGTTGTTAAATACTGAAGCTGTTCGGAAGAGGTGGACTCAAATATATTTTACCTAATTTAAAGGCAATAAAAATTTCATATTATTTTATACGTAAAATTGCTAGATGTGCACGTCCACACTTGAATTTCACTCAGCCATCAAATTAGGAGACATCCTGTTATTTTGAACGTCTGAAGCCAAGTAGCAGAGTTTTGGAAGTTAACAGAGCCACTCAAGGAGTAAGTTAATTTAGGTACAGGTACACATAAGTACAATTATTCGATAGTTTAACGTATGTGTAAATTACCTAGGATAACCCAAAAATTTAGACAAAGTGACTTATTTCCATTGGAGTCCTTGTAATATCTTATTATTTAAGGCCTAGCAGTAAATTACAGTAGGAATCAGTCATAATTATTAGAACTTGTATATTCCAAATGTTCCAAGATTTTACCCCTAGTTACCGTATACCTGGAGAAGGTTTCGAGGGTCAACGCCCCTGTAGCCCAGTCCTCATGATGGATTAGGGCCTGATCAACCAGGCTGTTACTTCTGGCCGCACGCATCTCGACGTACGAACCACAGCCCGGCTGGTCAGGTACTGACTTTAGATGCCTGTCCAGCGCCTGCTTGAAGACAGCCAGGAGTCTATTGGTAATCTCCCTTATGTATGCTGGGAGGCAGTTGAACAGTCTTAGGCCCCTGACACTTATTGTGTTGTATCTTATCGTCCTAGAGGCGCCCCTGCTTTTCATTGCAAGTTTGGTACTAATCCCTCTAGGATTTTCGAAGTGTATATAATCATGTATTTCTCCCTCCTGTGTTCAAGAGAGTACAGGTTGAGGAACTTGAAGCGTTCCCAGTAACTGAGGTGTTTTATCGCAGTTATGAGTGCCGTGAATGTTATCTGTACATTTTCGAGGTCAGCAATTTCACCTACCTTGAAAGGTGCTGTTAGTGTGCAGCAATATTTCAGCCTAGACAGAAAAAGCGACCTGAAGAATGTTTTGAATGTTTTCATTATCCATCCTGTAATTTTTCTAGTAGATGCGACTGATACACTCTTGTGGTCTTTGAAGGTGAGATCCACTGACATTATCACTCCCAGGTCTTTTACATTATCTTTTCGCTTCATTATGTATTTGGAATTCGTTTTATACTCCGATACAGTTTTAATTTCCTCACGCTTTCCATATCGGAGTAATTGAAATTTCTCATTATTGAGCTGAAAATTTGAAGCCGATCAGATGAAGCATTCTCGTGTTATGAGAAATAAAGATGAATTTGGAGGAAAACCAAGGAAAAAAAAAAAGAAAAATGTTCAAGCAGCTACTAACAAATTCCCCTTCGGGATACCTACATAAGTAAATTTACTGACACCGCTAAGAAATTGACGTTGGAAACTACCCAAGAAAATTAAATAAATTCTTTATTGCATTTATTACATGAAGATATAAAATTACGTAATTCCTTTTACCAAAATTATTCTATTTTTTCTGGAGTAATTGGGGCCAGTTCGTCAAAAAGCGTCAAAGATATATTACTCATAACACTTGTGAATGCAACGAGGCACAGGAGACGCCATATTTGTTTCCTGGACACAACTGAGTGGAGGAGCACGCCAGAATATACTCCTGTTGATAGCCAGAGACATTTATGTGAACAATTTTAAAAAATGGCGAGAAGACTAGTTCCTATGGAGAAACACATCTGGAATAAAGACTTTACATTAGGTTGGTGAACGAGGCAGGAAGTGTGACACAGGTGTCTTGTAAGTACAGGTCTTGAAGAACACAGGGGCAGAGCAAGTGTTTTTGTTACGGTTTCGCTCATTGTAGAGCTTTACCAAGCTTTATGTAGACCGACACCACAGTAAAAGCTTGCTCTGCACTTGTTTTCTTAATTAGTCTGCGGTACGATTTTGTAACTCCCAAGGAAGGTGCCTTCATTATGGTGAGGGGCTCTTGATCTAAGGAATGTGAACTTAGTAAATGCTGTATTTAAAAATGTTAGTTTTAAAGCTTCGTTACTAAAATTTACGAATAGAATACTGATGGTTAAATCGGTAAAATTCTTTTGCGTAAATTTCAATAAATATGTTGAGCAAACGGAAAAAAACTTTAGGTTCAAGTTTAAAATCTTTCAAGGGGGACGCTGTATAGCCCTTGTGGCTTAGCGCTTCTTTTTTATTATAATAATAATAATTTCAAAGGGGGTACTTTGATACTGGTGAAGGGTTCTTGATTTACTGAACTGGAGCTATGCTCGCCCTCGGATCAAACCTGATTACCTACAATTACCAGTTATTAAAATTACCGGTTTAACTGTCATGAATATTACTTATTAAAATTAAAATATCCAGAATTTTAACGCCATGTAAAATGAGCTGCTTGTAAACAGATACAGGCTGGGTAAATTCGTTATGAAAGAAGACTTTACTCCTCTGTTTACTCCCTCTGGATTACCAGACGGAGTAAGCAACTCTCTCTCTGCTCAGCAGAGAGAGAAGTTGAGAAACTTTTTTCTATCTGTACATCTGGGAGTTGTACCACAATATCCCCTCATGGAAGGTTCCTTGATGTTGGTGAGGGGCTCTTGATTTAGGGAATTGGATCTGTGCTCCGGTTCCCCGAATTGAGCCTGAATGCCTTCCACATCCCCCTCCCCTGGGCGCTGTATAATCCTACGGGTTTAGCGCTTCCCCCTTGATTATAATAATAATAATAATAATATACCACAATATGATAATTACATGTTATTTAAATTTATTTATAATTAAAAGGAAGGAGCTAACGGTTTATACCTATTGAATTCATTATAATGCACCAGCCAGTAAAAAAAAAAATGTTAAAAGTACCTCAAGCAAACTTTATATTAATGTTATTTTAAGCGGATAGCATATGGTTTTAGTTAATTATATTTTATCACCTAGGTAGTAGGTTGGTAGACAGCAACCACTCAGGGAGGTACTACCGTCCTGCCAAGTGGTAGGATTGGGTGTCTTTTCTGTCTCATAAACATGCAAGATTTCAAGTACGTCTTGCTACTTCTACTTACATTTAGGTCACACTACTCATGCATGCAAGCATATGTATATACACGCATCCCTCTGGGTTAACATTTAAAATAGTTGTAAAAAAGTATTGACCCCACTGGTACACTTAAGAGATATACCTAAAGAGGGAGAGCTATGCTTTGTGTCCTCCCAGTAAGACTGAATCATTTTAGAATTAGAGGTACTACTGCATTAATGATGTGTTAGGAGAAATTTATCTATCCTTTCCTTTTTCTTCATAAAACATTCAACAATGAGAAGGCCAATTTAAATTCTTATTAGACAATGCAGTGATGCTCGCTAGAGAAACCTACGATTATTACATTCATGATTTGAGCGCTAAACTCGTAGGGGTCATACAGCTCCTGGGGGAATAGAAGAGATTCAAGCTCCATTCAAGGAATTGGAGCACTTGTCCAACTCCTTCTTAGATCAAAGATCCATACCAGCATCAAGGGGAATATATCCAATAAAACTAGCAAATCAGCACCTACACAACCGAAAATCAATCCAAACTTTAATTGATATAACATATACCAACGTGTGAGGTTTGAAGACGATCAGAAGAGGTATTCTCCGGTTATCGAACAAATCATAACTTGTACAGATATCATACAGAATCTAACAATAAGTTTATTAATTATGTTAGTAAATTGGTAAATTTGTACCTACATAGCCTAAACTCAAAAGACCAAAAGATGTATCAGCAATTCAAGACTGCAGCCGCTCAAACGAGGCATACTCAGTTATTTCATGGTAAATAAAAATAAGATTAACAAATTGGCACCTACACACACCGGTGATAATTTTGACCTAAGTAGGATTCACCAATGCTGAGAGTTTGAAGCCGATCAAAATTCTTAAGTTAGTGTATGGAAACCTAACTTGGGAATTTCATGATCTATAAAAAAAGTTGACCAAAGGGATGAAAATGAAGGAAGTTCGCTGTGTTATTAGGTATCTCCTAAGGGATACCTTCAAGTAGTTGACAGATTTATTTTTTTCCTCAAGGTTATCATTTATAAGTCACAGAACAGGTAGGGCTTGAACCCAAGGCAAGCGAGTCCTAAAACTCACAGACCAATACGTTAACCACTTGCCTTGGGTTGAAACCCTACCCGTTCTGTGATAAATGACAACCTTGGGAGGAAAAATAAATCTCAACCACTTGAAAGTACCCCTTCGGGGGATACCTGATAACAGGGTGAACTTCCTGTAATTATATTCATTCCGTTACTCTAGTCAAAATCTTGTCTTTCACGGATATATTGTATGAAATTATTTTTTTTTTCAAACAGCTGATGATGCTGTTGACCCACTTGGCGCTACCAGTGCAGCGACCAGAGAAGTAGCTGCTATTGGAGTTTATGATAATGGTGCTGATGAAGCGAATGATGATGGTGCGGTTCACGCAGCTGTTGATGAAGGTGTTACTGATTCTAGAGCTGCCGCTGCTGCTGCAAGTGATAGTGTTGATGCAGCTGACAGTGATGGTGCTGCAGCGGCTGAAGATTATGATACTGCTTATGAAGCTGCTGCTGCTATTGGAGTTGATGGTTCTTCTACTGTAGCTGATAGTTCTGCTGTTGAGGCTCATGGTGCTGTTGCTGTAGCTAATGAAGGTACTGCTGCAGCTGTAGTTAATGATGATTCTGCTGCTTCAGCTGTAGCTAATGATGTTTCTGTTGCTGTTGCAGCCGTAGCTAATGATGGTTCTGCTGCAGCTGATGAAGATGCTACTGCTGCAGCTACAGCAGCTAATGACGGTGGAGGTACTACCACAGCGGATAGTGTTAGTGGTGCTGCCACAGCTGTTGATAGTGGTGACGCTGCTACAGATGATAGTGTTGGTGCGGCTGATGATTCTGCTGCTGCAACTGATGATTGTGTCACTGCAGCTGATAATTGTGTTGCTGCAACTGATGATTATGCTGTGGCTATTGATGTTGCTGCTGCTGCGGCAGATACTGATGTTCCTCGTGTTGCACCAACTGATGATGGTGCTACTGCTGCAGGTGCTGCAGCTGTTGATGTTACTACTGCTGCAGCTATTGATTGTGCTGCTGCTGCAGGTGATGATCTTAATAATGCTAGTGCAACTGAGGATGGCACTGCTGCAGCTGATGCTACTACTACCGGGGCAGCTGGAGATGCTGCTCCTGCAATTGATGTTACTACTGTTGGTGTAGCTGAAGATGGTGCTGCTGCTGCTACAAGATACGCCACAATGCTGCTGAAACTGAAGAAGAAAGTTAAGCAGATGGTGATGATGATTATGCTGATTATGACTGTATATATTGTGGCGAGTGAGATAACTGGAATGGTGACTGTTGTGTATTTATTAGAGGGGCTGTGTACCCTGCTGTCAGATGTGCTGGTGCGTCTTATGATGATGTACGCTGGCGTAAAGGTTTTGCATATTCTGCTGCCGATGCTCAACATGATGGAGGAATTTCAAGAATTGTTCATGTTTCTTTTTGAGTTTCTAGGTGAGGATCTGCTTGAGAGGGAGGTGGAGGTTCTAGACGAAGATGAGGGTGAAGATGAACATCTGTATGTGGGTGAGGATGGTGGTCAAGTTGATCCTTTGGAGGAAGGTGAGGGTGGACGTGAAGGTAAGTATTTGCATGTGAGTGAGGGTGGTGAAGTTGAGCATCTGCACGTGGGTGAAGGTGAGCATCTGCACGTGGGTGAAGGTGAGCATCTGCACGTGGGTGAAGGTGAGCATTTGCACGTGGGTGAAGGTGAGCATCTGCACGTGGGTGAAGTTGAGCATCTGCACGTGGGTGAAGTTGAGCATCTGCATGTGGGTGAAGGTGAGCATCTGCACGTGGGTGAAGGTGAGCATCTGTACGTGGGTGAAGGTGAGCATTTGCACGTGGGTGGAGGTGGCCATCTGCACGTGGGTGAAGGTGAGCATCTGTACATGGCTGAAGGTGGCCATCTGCACGTGGGTGAAGGTGAGCATCTGCACGTGGGTGAAAGTGAGCATCTGCACGTGGATGAAGGTGAGCATCTGCACGAGGGTGAGACTAGTTCTGGGTGAGGGTGAGCTTGTAGTTTGTGTCGAGGTGAGGATGGGGGTGGCGATGAGCATCTGCACAAGGGTGAGAGTATAGTTTTGGGTGAGGGTGAATTTGTAGTTTGAACGAGGATGGTGGAGGGGGGGGGGGTATTTGGGCGAGGAGTGAAGGTAGTTAAATACAGGTGAAGTTATCTGGTGTCTGGATAATTTTGAGGATGAGAGCGAGGAAATTACATGCAAGTGCAAGCCTTCTTATCCCACATTGTATTGGTGGCTCCAGCCTGGCCCACGGTGACTTGTGATGGGTTGGAAACTCTCCTGATGTCTCTTCATTTCGCTTTCTTAAAGACACAAGAGATATTCCAAGCAGTGAGAGCTCAGTACACTTGTGCCTTTCAGTTTTGTGACTTGTAATGTTTCGTATCAGATTATTATACTGTACATTAACTTGTTTCACCAAGTTAGGTCTTTATGACTATTCTAATTATTAGAATCTATTTTATTTATTGAAGACATTCTGATAATGGAATGTATTTAATGAGGAACATTAATTCAATAAACTTTATTGTTATGCAGTGATATTACTTGCCATGCTTGCCTTATCTGGCTCAAGTTAGAAGACTTCAGATTATCTCTGGATTGTTATTATTATTATTCCCCTTAAGAGAGGTCCCTTGATACTAATGAGGGCTCTTTGATCCAAGGAATGGGACTTAACCTTCCCTTCCTGGGATTGAACCTAAATGCCTCCCATTACTCGGTTCCAACATCTACAATAAACCAACCCAACACTCAGTAACATCACTGGAAGTCACGCCCTTAACACACACTCCCTTCAGGGAAATTCCTTATTGCTGGTGAGGGGCTCTTAAGCCAAGGAATTTGACCTGCCCTTCCCTTCCTTGGATTGAACCTGAATGCCTACCATTTCCCCAGGTGTTTTATGACTCCTACGAGTTTATTGGTACCTAATATAATTAACACACTCTTGACTGAGGGAAACTAGCCTATTGCATCAACTTAGATTTTGGTTTTACTCTTGCACTAACCCCCACCCTCACTAACTCTTTAAAGGAGGGGTTTGGGATATTTGCTATTTGGTGACATCTGAACTGTTGTATCTGCATGCCTCTCCAATGAGTGATGGTGTGAATGATGGTGAAAGTTTTTTTTTTTTTGGGGTCACCCTGCCTCGGTGGGAGATGGCCAGTGTTAAAAAAGAAAAAGAAAAAAAAAAAAGAGAATAAAGCTGTCTATAAACATGTGGAATGTAGGGTGAATCAGTTTGATGAAAATTGTTGAAGATGAACTCATGTTAAAAAGGTGGATAAAGTGGCCTAGGGCATGGCAACATGTGCAGGGTACAAAATGTTTGAAAATGTAAGTGATAAGAGGTGGAAGCACCCCATAACTCATTGATTGTTCATTTTATATTCATTGGGAAGTGCTAAACCCATAGGGGGCTACATAGCACAGGGTAATTAGGTTTGAAGGGTAAGAAAGCTCAAATTAGTTGGATCTAGTCCTTCACCAGCATCATGGAATCACCCTTGAAAAAAAGTTAACAGTATGTAATTATTATTATTATAATCAAGGGGGAAGCGCTAAACCCGGAGGATTATACAGTGCCTGGGGGGGATGTGGAAGGCATTCAGGCTTAATTCGGGGAACTGGAGCACAGATCCAATTCCCTAAATCAAGAGCCCCTCACCAACATCAAGGAACCTTCCTTGAGGGGAACAGTATGTAAAAATTTAATTTCTTAGAGAGTGGATATGCAGTACTTTACTTTAAATTGAAAACATGAATACATTACAAACATTATGTTAATCTAGTATCAAGTGTGCTTATTAAATCAATTATGTACTATACTGCATAAATGAATTAATTGCATAATTACTAATCAGTGGTGCCAGTAAACTGAATATGCTCAAAACAGACAATGCTGCAATTTGTATCAATGATATATATTGGCATGTGAATAATGCCAAGTAATTTAGAAATTTTGCAAATACTGTAATGTGCCTTCTTTATTTTTTATTATTATTTGGGATGGTATGAAGCACAAAGTTAACAAGATGCCAAGTACTGCAATGCTACAATATTACTCCCAAATATCAGTATTACTACTATTTGGAAGTTACAAGTATACGTGCTTCTGTATTTTCACAAGAGCAAAAACATCTTTGACTAACTGGTTTCTGGTTCTAATAACCTTGGAAATTGAAGCATCTCAATGAAGCAACAAGATTACCTATACTTGCTAACTTACCACGATTAAGCAATGGTTCAAGGAGAAAAAGACAGCTCTGGGAAATCAGGATAATTTTAATATAAAATATTTTAAAACAGTTCGGAAGTATTATACTCTGGTTTCATACGGCCCAATTTTTTTTTTTATAATCTTTCTTTCTTTTCTTCTTTTTAACACACTTCTGCAACATCACAATCTCTCCATGTCTCACTTTCAACTACACACCTACATTTCTTTTTCTTCTTTTTAACATTCTTTTCCGCCACTTTTACTTCAGTGTAACCATTTTCTTTCTCTTCTTGGTACTTTCATTATCTTTAAAATCTTCAGAAAATTGTTGAGAAACAAGGTAATTTTATTTTTTACACTTTCTAATGGAGAATCCACAGTATCATTTTCTTTTAATTGCTTTTCTTTTCTTACTGATTTTGTCCTTTTTTAAATCTTCAGTAGATAAATACGGCACTTCATTTTCTGATACTTTATTTCTTTTATTTATTGGTTCGTTAATAACATCTAATGTTTTCTTGCCTATCTCAGAGATATCCTCAATTGAATTTTGTCTTAATTTCTTCATTTTCTTTTTTCCTACTGCTTCTGCTTTACATGGTTCCTCGTGTGACTGCTCAGCTGACATACTACATTTCTGCATCAATAAACGTTCTTGTTCCTCTATTCTTGCAAGCTTACCTGACATCGTCAGTCCGTGTCTAGCTCCCCTAATTATGGAAAGGTATGAAGTGAAAATTACTAAAACCTTTCCTACTATTTAAATAATTAATATATTATCAATACTTCTAAATTAATTCCCAAGTACAATAATCAACAAATTTCATCAAATTTACATGCATACTTTGATTCAAGCTAATTAACTAACTTATGTTGAGTACAGGTACTTGACTAATACTGTTATGCATTTAATACTATGCTATGATGCAATAAGATCCCAGTAAACAGGTGATATCACAATATGCAGAATAACCACTGTGAAAAAAATAGTGAAATTCCAAGTGCTTCCATGATTTCTCACATTATCAAGGAACTTGATGTGAGAGAACTTGATAATGTGAGAGAACTTGATAATGTGAGAGAACTTGATAATGTGAGAGAACTTGATAAAGTGAGAAATCATGAAAGCATTTGGAATTTCACTATTTTTTCACAGTGGTTATTCTGCAATAAATATTATAAATAGCTTATAATATGCAAAATATCCAATGCAAAAAAAAGTGAATTTCCAAGCACTTTCGTGATTTTTCACATTGTCAAGGAACTGTAAAAATAATAGGACAGCAAGAAGGCTTATAAGGCTGAGATATCCACCTCACATATGATCTGACACCTGACTCAGCATGCTGAGTCAGGTGTCAGGTCAGGCTTAACTGGATTTGGGAAAGCCAGTGCCAATCAAGTAAGTTGAACCATTGTTTCCCAAGGGCACAATGTTATAAATACATCTTCCATTCCAATGTCATATATCTCAAAATTTAGATTTTTACAGGCTATCTTGCCAGGAAATAAATGATCATAAATGTGAGGGAAGCACAAATCAAGTGTTGTCTGTACAGTATACCAAAACATTGTGAACTGGGTTATCTACAAGTCCAACAATCTCCTCTTATAGTATTTTATGCATGTACTTGGTGTTTTTGAACTGTACTAGATGTTCTCTTACTTATGAGCTGTTCGTCCACCACATATCTTGAATAGCTCCTCATCTGTCAGTTTGAGTGACAAGTCTTCCTCGTCTTCAGGCTCTTCACTGTCCGAACTTTCTTTCACTTCCTGTGCTCCAACTAGTGTGCTGCCCTGAGTAAAAATAGAAATGGGAACCAATCACATTACCTAGCTGAGGGAATAAATCAGCTCATGATAAAAAAGAAGCTGACAAATTCTGAATTATTACTATAGGAGGTAGTGCTAAATCTGTAGGAGTCATACAATTCCTAAGGAAAACAAGGTAATCAGGGATCATAAAAGGAAGGAGAGAGATATTTCAGTTTCCTTGAGCCCTTTACCAAGACACTAGGGAGTCTCAGGATAATTTGGATAGATGATTATTATTTTAGGCAGTTCAATGTAAACCATGTAATAATCACGGGACAAAATAGCCGCAGCACCTATACATAAATGACATCCAGTTGTCCTTACAAATTTGCTGGCTTCCATATTTATGAATTTTTGTTGAAGGGCAACCATTAAAAAGATCTGATTTTTTTTTCCACCGAGGTAGGGTGACCCAAAAAGAAAGAAAATCCCAAAAAAGAAAATACTTTCATCATTCAACACATTCATCTCACTCATACATAATCACTGTCTTTGCAGAGGCACTCAGATACAACAGTTTACAAGTCCCTCCAAACTGTCAATATCCCAGACCCCTCCTACAAAATGCAGGTATTGTACTTTCCATTTCCAGGACTCAAGTCTGGCTAAATCTATAATTACCAGTTTTCCTGAATCCCTTCACTAAATATTACCCTGCTCACACTTCAACAGTTCGTCAAGTCCCAAAAACCGTTCGTCTCCATTTACTCCTATCTAACATGCTCACACATGCTTACTGGAAGTTCAAGCCCCTTGCCCACAAAACCTACTTTACCCCCTCCCTCCAACCTTTTCGAGGACGACCCCCTACCCCTCCTTCCTACACCTACAGATTTATATGCTCTCCAAGTCATTCTACTTTGATCCATTCTCTCTAAATGGCCAAACCACCTCAACAACCCCTCTGACGAATACTTTTAGTAATTCTACACCTCCTAATTTCCACACTCTGAATTCTCTGCATAATATTTACACCACACATTGCCCTTAGACAGTAAATCGCCACTGCCTCCAACCGCCTCCTCGCTGCAGCATTTACAACACAAGCTTTACATCCATATAAGACTGTTGGTACCACTATACTTTCATACATTCCCTAATTTGTCTCCATAGATAATGTTTTTTTTTTGTCTCCAGATACACCTCAACGCACCACTCGCCTTTTTTCCTTTATCAGTTCTCTTGTTAACCTCATCCTTCATAAACCCATCTGCTGACAAGTCAACTCCCAAATATCTGAAAATATTCACTTCTTCTATACTCCCTCTCTTCAATGTGATATCCAATTTTTCTTTATCTAAATCATTTGATACCCTAATCACCTTACTCTTACCTATATTCACTTTCAACTTTCTACCTTCACACACCCTCCCAAACTCGTCCACTAACCTTTGCAACTTTTCTTTAGAATCTCCCATAAGCACAGTACATATCAGCAAAAAGTAACTGTCAACTCCCATTTTGTACTTGAATCCCCATAATTTAATCCCACTTCTCTCCCCAACACCCTGGCATTTACTTCTTTTACAACCTCATCTATAATATATTAAACAACCATGGTGACATTACACATCCCTGTCTAAGATCTACTTTTACCAGCAAGTAATCTCCCTCTCCTACACACCCTAACTTGAGCCTCACTATCCTCATAAAAACTCTTTACAGCATTTAGTAACTTCCTATCTATTCCATACACTTGCAACATCTGCCACATTGCTCCCCTATCCACTATCATATGCCTTTTCTAAATCCATAAATGCAATAAAAACTTCCCTACCTTTATCTAAATACCATTTACATATATGCTTCACCTAGGGAGGTACTACCGTCCTGCCAAGTGAGTGTAAAACAAAAGCCTGTAATTGTTTTATATGATGGTAGGATTGCTGGTGTCCATTTTTCTGTCTCATGAACATGCAAGGTTTCAGGTACATCTTGCTACTTCTACTTACACTTAGGTCACACTACACATACATGTACAAGAATATATATAGATACATACCCCTCTGTTTGTTTCCTCTTATCTCCATGGGGAAGTGGAACAGAATTCTTCCTCCGTAAGCCATGCATGTCGTAAGAGGCAACTAAAATGCTGGGAGCAAGGGGCTAGTAACCCCTTCTCCTGTATATATTACTAAATGTAAAAGGAGAAACTTTCGTTTTTCCTTTTGGGCCACCCCGCCTTGGTGGGATACGGCCGGTGTGTTGAAAGAAGAAGATATATGCTTCAATGTAAACACTTGATCTACACATCCCCTACCCACTCTAAAGCCTCCTTGCTCATCTGCAATCCTACTCTCTGTCTTATCTCAAATTCTTTCAATAATAACCCTACCGTACACTTTACCTGGTATACTCAGTAACTTATTCCCCTTTAATTTTTACAATCTCTTTTGTCCCCCTTCCCTGTATATAAAGGAACTATACATGCTCTCTGCCAATCCCTAGGTACCTTTCCCTCTTTCATACATTTATTAAACAAAAACACCAACCACTCCAACACAATCTCCTCCCCTACTTTCAACATTTCCACTCTTCATAATTCGTTGTCCCGTCTTGGCTACCCTTCCCATTTCATAGACTCTGCCTTCTCACGAGCTAAACGTAATTTCTTCTATCCCAAACTCTCTACTCCTGGGAACTCTTCTGTCCTCTGCCTTCCCTACATTTCCGGTCTTTCTAATCTCAACAATTCTCTCCGTCCCTTAGACATCAAGCTTACTTTCCACCAGATTAACACTCTTCGCACTAATCTCGTTCATACCTCTCCTCCCTCTACAGATGTTCCTGGTGTCTACTCTATTTCTTGCTCCTCCTGTCCTCTTCAATACTTTGGAGAAACTGGCCGATCTCTTTCTGACAGACTTAGGGAGCACAAAAATAGTGTTAGGCTTGCCGACACTAACAATGCTCTTTTCTGTCACGTCATAGATCACAGCCATCCTATAGACTGGTCTTCTGCTAAAACTGTCTTCCCTACTTCCAACTTTAACAGTCGCCGTCTTGTTGAATCCTCTCTAATACACAACTTTCCTTGTATGAATCTTAGTCCTGGCTTCATCTCTGTAGATGCCTTCCTCTCCCACTACATTGTAAAATGCTCCAAACTTCAGAACACCCGTGACTTAACTTGATCCCTCATTTTTTTTTTCTTCTTCTCCCTCTTCCCCTTTCTTCTTTCCTTTTTTTGTCTTTCTTCTGTCGCGTGTTTCTGTTCCTTCATTATTTCATCACTTCCCCTTCCCCCCACCTCTGTGCACTTGCTCTCCCTCTGTGGGCACCTAGCTCCCTTGCAGTGCGCAGTGCTCCCCTTTCTTTACATTTGACTGGCTCCTCCTTCTTAGTTCCCCACTACTACCACCACTACTACTACCACCACTACTACCACCACCACTACCACCACTACTACCACTACTACTATCACTACTACCACTACTACTACCACTACTACCACCACTACCTCTTCCTGCCTATATATAGCCATCCTGCTCCACTTCTGGTTAGTGTGACTTTGTAAATGGTCCAAGTCGGACTGAAACGTCGTCGTAAGCTCCTCTCTTCTATGTGCGGGTTATTTGTGTATCGTTCCAGTCACAGTATTGTGCCTTTTTTTGTTATTTATTGTTAGTGTATAGCTTAGTGTCAATTTTGTACTCAGTAAAGCATTTTTTGCTGTTATATGTAGAGAAACAAGTGTGAGGACGCTTAGATTAACCTCTGCTATAACTCCAACTGCCGAGAGAATGACACTCGTCAAGCCGCAGTTAGCCCTGTCAGCAGGCGCTGTGTCAGCCTCGTGTCACAAGCTTCAGTGAGCAGCCTGCACAAAGAAGATGTCACTTTGACTGCTAGCTCGCTCACTGCAGTCTGGTGTATGATGTTACGACTCCCAGATGTTTCGCCCAGTCGTCTCTGCCACGACTCACTCCATGCTCTCCGGCAATGACAGCCCAGCGACAGTACCAGTCGAGAAGTGTCCTCCTGAGTCGCTTGCCAGAAGTCCTGCCCAGTTGCCAAGTTTTGTCGATGCCTCGAGGGCACCAGCATGTTGTGCCCCAGGTTGAGTGAAAACCTGCAGCAACTCCTACGATGACTGCTTCACCGTTCTAGAGGAGACTGTACCCTGTTACGTCACAGCCCAGCCACAGCAATGTCTCCTGTGTTGCAGTATCTGTCCAGACGCAGGAAGGCGTGCAGTGATGCCCATCGACGCTCACTGCCTATGACCACGATGTTTAGCACACCCCACATGTTTTTTTTCTTCCCTCCCTGTAGGAAGTTTTTTTTCCATGTCCATATGTATATACACCTACCATCCGACTTAAGACCGAGTTCAGTTCCGAGAAATCGGTCGTAAGTCGAACTTTACTACTGAATATCAACAAAACATTTTTGTAATGACTTTGTTTTATTTTGGTATTTCATGTTTTACTTTACTTTTTATGTTGTTAGTACTGTATTTTATACTCTAAGGTTTAGGATAAACACTGTGCACAACACAAATAGTTGTTTATTTCCCAGAAATTTGGCATAAAAAATACGGTCGTAAGTCGAGTGGTCGTAAGTCGAGCAGGTCGTAAGTCGGATGGTAGGTGTATATGTTTTTTATTTTGTGTTCTGTGCCCTGTTCCTACGAGAGAGAGAGACCGAGTTTTTTTTACCACCAGTAGGTAGGTGGCCGAGCATATGTAGACAGCCTGTACTGTCTGCACAGACAGCCTATGCTGTCTGCCAGCTTAGTTCATATTTTGCGCCACTAAGGTGCTGCCCTCTAGCCAGCCCAAAGTCAGTGGGATGCTGGTCCCACACACTCTCACTCTCTCAGCGGCCTAGCAGCAAGACACAAGGCCTACTAGTTCTCTCCCTCTTGTGGGCATGGGCCTTCCCGGCCATGGGCACAACACACAAGCCTGTGTACCCCCCACGACATCACAAATAAAGTAAGAAGCCTCCGAAGACGTATCATTTACTCCCCGTTACCAGCATTACCAATAATTTGTTTCACATATCTCACTCCAAATTTTATTCTTACTTTCAGCAAAATTTCTTGCCAGTGCCTCCCCCACTCTTTCATCTGCTCTCCTTTTGCGCTCTCACCACTCTCTTCACCTTTCTTTTACTCTCCATATACTCTGCTCTTCTTACAACACTTCTGCTTGTAAAAACCTCTCATAAGCTACCTTTTTCTCTTTTATCACAACCTTTACTTCATCATTCCACCAATCACTCCTTTTTCCTCCTGCATCCACCCTCCTATAGCCACAAACTTCTGCCCCACATTCTAATACTGTATTTTTAAAACTATTCCAACCCTGTTCAACCCCCCCCCACTACTCATACTTGCACTAGCCCACCTTTCTGCCAATAGTTGCTTATATCTCACCCTAACTTCCTCCTTCCTTAGTTTATACACTTTCACCTCTTACTTGCTGTTGCCATTTTCGTTTTGTCCCATCTATCTCTTACTCTAACTGTAGCTACAACTAAATAATGATCTGATATATCCGTTGCCCCTCTATAAACATGTACATCCTCAAGCCTACCCATCAACCCTTCATCTACCAATACATAATCTAAGAAACTACTTTCATTACGTATTACTTATTACCAACCTCCTTTCTATACATAGCTCAATTAAAGGCTCCCCATTTTCATTTACCCTTGGCACCCCAAATTTAACTACTATTCCCTCCACAATATTTTTACCCACTTTAGCATTGAGATCCTCAACCACAAGTACTCTCTCACTTGGTTCAAAACTCCCCATGCACTCGCTCAACATTTCCCAAGATCTCTCTCTCTCCTCTACACTTCTCTCTTCTCCAGGTGCATAAACACTTACTATAACCCACTTTTCACATCCAACCCTTGAATTTATACATTTATATTAACTCTTTTCCTGCCATAACTTATCCTTCAACATTATTGCTACTCCTTCTTTAGCTTTATTTGAAACCCCTGAGCTAATCCCATTTATTTCTCCCCACTGAAACTCTCCTACTCCCTTCAGCTTTGTTTCACTTAAAGCCAGGACATCCAGCTTCTTCTCATTCATAACATCCACAATCATCTCTCTCTTATCATTCACACAACAACCACCCACATTCAAACATCCCAGCTTGACGGTTTTCCAATTATCCAATGTTTATTAAAGTGCAATGGCTTTCCCACACCCATATCTTCTTTTTATTCTGATTATTATTTGTTTTACATGTCAATATTAACCAGATTTGAATGATACATTAAAGAGGCATGATCTCTGAAACACAAAATGAACCCTAATCTGAAAAAACTGTTATTCAAATCTATTTGTATTTGTGGTTTCTACTTTTGCAGGACCTCTAGGAATGAAACTTCCCCATCCTTGCAAATATTTAGGGAATACTTAATGCCCAAAAAACTCAATTTCTGTTTAGTGGAAATCTGAAGCCAAGACTGCAATTAGTAAAGAATTTACCATAAAGCTAAAATGCTTCTTGGCCTTCTATAATACAGGTAAGAGAAGCCCCAAGAGTATACTACCACTATTATTAGCAAGACATTTATGTCCATTCTGCAATAATGATCATATGCACTACAAACTATATAGACAGGAATTTTGTCTGCACAAGTGTAGAATGAAAAAGGATATGGTTGAGGTGTGCAATCTTAAATTCACTGAATATAAATCAGGTGCTGAAAATATCTAGGCAAGACAACTTGAAGCAATAGTCAAATTGAACAAATTCCAATGAATAAAGGATATAGGAAAACACTGTTTAACAAAAGTTTAAGATGAATGGAAAACTTCCAAATAGCATTATTGAAATACTTTTGGTAGCTTTACAATCATGTCACACAGATCCATGGGAAGGGGTGTATGTGTGTGTGAATAAGACCTGCCTAACATGGGCTAGCAGGCCTACTGCAACGCTCCTACTCTACCACTTATTTGTGTTATTACCTTGAGAAAGATGCCATATAATTTGGTTTTGTGATCCAACCTTGAGGGTTTTGGCTTGCTAATTTGTATTTTTTTCTTCTTTGTAAGTTGTACTGACCCATCCTGTAGGAGAAGAAAAAGGTAGCTAAATGTGCAAGGTGGCAATACATAAAGCGATTTTGTTTAAACGTGACAGAAAAAAAAGTGCATCATTTTGCACAGCACTTGAAAAAGTCTTGACAGCATACTCTGTAAATGAGGAAACAAAGTTATAAAAAAAATCTTGATAGTCTGCATTGTGGATTTTTCCCCCTCAAACTCTTAAGTGTTTGGATTATTATAAATTCATGGGGAATAGCTAAACACTTAGGGGTCATACAGTGCCTGGGGGAATGGAAGGCATTCTGGTTTGATGTAAAGAGGACAAGTCTAATTCTTTGGATCAACAGCCCCTCAAAGGCATCAAGGAACCTCCCTTGAGGGGATTGAGTGTTTGGAGAGGCATCATCACCCAAAATACCTACAGTTGCCTTGTGAACCACAGCATGCCTTGCTCTGTATTTATCACATGTTTTTAGATACGTACATATTTTTATTACATCTCTTCTGTGGATATAAACAACAGCACTTAATAGGAATTACAATGATGCTGGAAGAAGTGTTAATTTTATATACATGTGATGCAGACTGCTTGCACTTTTGGTCTGAAAGAATCTACTGTCCATATAGAGACAAAGAGATGAATATATGAGCTTGTGCAGTTAGTAGCACAGGGTAAAATAGATCAGATATGCATTACATAATATTTGAGTTCTCTAGTACAATCAACAATTGTTGATAAATCTGCATCCACATCAACACAAGAACCACAGCTGTCCCAACTCAATCCAATAGGGTGACATCAACCTCCTCTGCACATTTCCATGTAAATAGATAATGACAATTAGAAAGTAAGGCAACATGAACTATATTAACTTGTACCTAGTCAAATGTTTAAAAAAAAAAGTTTAGTAAATTTTCAAATCTCTGGAATGTACCCTCATTTTTCCATATATTCTTCATCTCATGTAAAGCTATACGTAGTTCTATAGTTTCATTATATGCCAAGTTTTGGGAATTTATCCCCTCATCATGAGATTTTACTGTACATTCATGACTATCCCTAGGTAGTAGGTTGGTAGACAGCAACTGGCCAGGGAGGTACTACCATCCTGCCAAGCGAGTGTAAAATGGAAGCCTGTAATTGTTTTACACGATGGTAGGATTGCTGGTGTCTTTTTTTTCTGTTTCGTACATATGCAAGATTTCAGGTACATTTTGCTACTTCTACTTACACTTAGGTCACACTACACATACATGTACAAGCATATATATACACACACACACCCCTCTGGGTTTTCTTCTATTTTCTTTCTAGTTCTTGTTCTTGTTTATTTCCTCTTACCTCCATGGGGAAGTGGAACAGAATTCTTCCTCCGTAAGCCATGCGTGTTGTAAGAGGCGACTAAAATGCCGGTAGCAAGGGGCTAGTGACCCCTTCTCTTGTATATATTACTAAATGTAAAAGGAGAAACTTTCGTTTTTCCTTTTGGGCCACCCCTCCTCGGTGGGATATGGCCGGTGTGTTGAAAGAAAAAGAAAGAAAGATTCATGCCTATCATTTTATATTCATTGGAAAGATGATTTTATTTTGATTATAAACCCTGAGGGATTAAGGATCCAGGATAACATATCAGGGTCCTATTTAGATCCTTCTCCAGGATGCAACCCACAAACTAACAGGTAGGGTTTTTCAGCAAAAATCAGTTGACAATGTCAGAAACCTACAACAATAGACATGCCTGTTTTCTTGAATTTTTAAATAAGCACATAAATGCAGACTGCTGAAACATTTTTACAAAGAATAAAATTTTAAGAACTAATCTATATGCATGAAAATAAGATGATCACACACTTCATGACAATAGTTAAATAATTTGTTTTCTAAATGACTGGGCTTGCTAAAATGAGAAATAAATAGGAATTGCAAAGTTAATGTATATTACTTTTAATACTCTATGTAACTAAAATAAAGCAGTCTATGGAAGTAATAAGTTATAGCCTGTTTATGACAAAATTACAACTAGAGATGTACTTTGGCTAATTCACAATAATGTATACATAGTATATGTATACTTACTTGGTTCTTATTAACTGAAATGCTCTTTGCAGTCTTGTTAAAAACATGATCCCACCAGTGGAACTGGTAATCCTTGGAAATACCATGACCAAAACCAGCCGTGTCAAACTTTAACTTTGGCTTCAAGGCTGATGTTATTCCTCCCTCTTCTCGTCCCAGGCCTTTACCTGAATAATAAATGCTTTGTATTGTACCTTTAATTTGTATTGTTGTACACTATTTTTTCCAATAATGTGAGAAGAAAAAGATGATAGGTCAGTACATGAGGTATGATGAAATGTATAATGACAGTAATTGGCTGGTCACATAAAATTATATATACAACAAAGATAATAAAAATACTAAAGTTTATATTCCACTGAGAGTGACAGTATGATCATCAGGATCATAAGCTCTGGAATAAAGATTGGCTTTCAACCAAGATTTGAAAATAAACAGATTCCTGACTCTGAAGAGACACTATTAACATGTTATACAATCTGGGAGCCACATCAAACTCTCTCGGCAAATGATTTTTCCATGACAGCACAACGCTCAATCTAGAAAGGTGTGCATCAATTCATAATAAATATTATTTCAGTCTGATGTAAAATGTATAAACACATAACCATGATACCTAATTGTTTTAAATATTAATTGGCTGCCAGTGCAGATCATACAAGTAGGAACTAGGGGAACCTCAGGTTGGAACAAAAATGCATTGATTGGCTTGTATGTGCTGCACAGCCAAAATTAATATATTATTTTTTGCTACTATTTCCCAAAATAACAAGCTGCTCAAGAAATACTTACATGGTTCACACAGGTTGTATGCAATGTTATAAAATGTAAACCAATGTAACTGTAAACTACAGTTCAAATTATAGCTAGGTAACTTGTTATAAAAGTTAGGGAAAGTAACCTGTTATGAAAGTCAGGGAAGGTTCTGCCCAAAAGTATCAATTAGGGTTACTTAAAAAAAGAAAATAGCATTGCTCACAATAACTTGGACAAACTTCTTTGGGACAAAATTGCTCAGGCATCTATAGTTGCTAATGTAGTTTTAATGGAAGATTTTTAACCTTAGGCAAGTTGACTGGAGCAATCTGATAGGTAATCTAGAGTCTTGCAACTTTCCTCAGTTCAGGACTGCTTTTTGAAACAATCTCTGTCAGAATCAAATAGAGGAAATAACCTGTTGGACTTGATTCTGGCAAAGGATTCTCTGATAGATAATCTTGAGGTTAATGAGAAGCCTGGAGAAAGCAATCACAAGTCACTTAGTTTTAATGTTGGTACCTCATGGAATTACCTTAGCCCGTAAACGGTCCAAGCAGATCTACGTTCACATGTGTAGTGCTACAAAAGTAGATCTACGTTTTTTTTTACATATTTTCAAATATAAGAAAAAAAAAAGTAGATTACGTTTTTTTACACATTTTCAAATGTAAAAAAACAAAAAGATCTACTTTTTTTTACATACTTTCAAATGTTGAAAAAACGTATATATACGTTTGGACCGTTTATGGGTTAATAATGAAAAAAAGTTCAGTTCCCAATTTTTGAGCTGCAAATTGTAAGGGGCTGAGGGATTACTTGAGAAGTGTAGCCTCAGGTAACCTGGCCAGGGACTATCGTGTATCCATGAGAGTTGCTAATATGACATTTTCCAAAGCACTGTACAAGTTGTCCAAATTGCATATACAGTGGAACATCAGTAGTCAAACTTAATTCGTTCCAGAAGGCTGTTCAAGTGCCGATTTGTTCGAGTATCAAACGATTTCTTCCCAACCAATTTTCTTTTTGGTTCGCTGTTATCACTAATCTTCATAGGCCCCACAGTGACTTATTAATACAAATACAAAAAAAAAAATGCGAAGAAACACGAAATAGTTTACAGTGAAGTTCTGGCAGGTCATGTTTATTTGGTCAAGTGCCAAGCTTTGTTCGAGTAGGGAGCTGTTCAAGTACTGAGGTTCCACTGTATTCATAATAAAAAATTGAGACCAAAACACGAATGACCCTAAATGAGTAAACAGTAGACTCAAAACATCTCTTAGGTGAAGAAAGGTATTTAAAGGTTAATCAAAAGAGGTGAGGGTAACTACTGAACAATATACTATTCAATTTAAAAGTAAAAAAGGAATAAGAAAAGCTAAAGAAGAATATGAAATTAAGGTTATGAGGGAATCAGAGACCAATCCTAAGAGTGTGTTTCAGGTATATATATGAATAAGATTAGGGGGAAAAGATAAGGCCCACTTAAATGTAACTCAGGTTAGCTTACTGATAAGTGACAAAGAAATGTGTACCATTTTCAACACATTTCCTATCTGTTTTTACACAAGAGGATAGCTACAAGCAAAATCTCAGATGTAAAAAATTACACTGGTCAGGACAAATATAAATTATGCAGCATCAAGATCATTAGTGATATGGGCCTCAAACAACTAGATTGAAACCAAACAAGTCAAGAGGCCCTTATAAGATGTTTTCAGGGGATGTAAAGGAATGTAAGGAGGAACTTGGAACACCATTTGCTAGTTTTTTCAACATAGCACTACAAGCAGGTACAGCCTCTCCTGACTTTACAGCTGAGCTCCGTTCCTAAGACCATGTTGTTAAGCAAATTCGTCGCTAAGTGAGGAGCATACTATAATGGTAGTAGGTTTGTGTTAACCATCTTTGATATTGTTTTAATGTCACCCTTGTGCCATTTATAACATTTCTAGTATTTTTAAATGTTTATACAGTAGTGTACTGTATATTGAAATGAACAGAATAGAAGAAGTCAGCTCTAATATACATTGTTTAGGTATAGATACTGGTAAGAGAGCCTGTCATAAGTCCAAGGTGTTGGTAAACAAGTATGTCGCTAAGTGAGGACATGCTGTATTGTACCTGATAATGGAAAATAGGAAATATGATACTCAGTTACAATACAGGAGCCTGGGTTATAATCTGAAGCTAAGGACCTAACAGCCTAACCTGAACTGTGGGAAAAGTTACTGGAAAAAATAATTGCTGATCTGACGCAATTTAAAGTTACCCTCAAAGATATAATTTAATCAACAAATCTCAGCACGGTTTAGTAAAGGGACATTCTTGTCTTACGAATTTACGAACTGTTTTTTCCTAAGGTATTTGAGGTGGTACACCAAGATAAAGAATACGATACTGTGTAAACAAACTTCAGTAAAGCCTTGGTAAAGCTTCACACTGGAGACTACAAAAGCACCAGCATATGGAATAAGAGGAGAAATCTGAATGGGGATCTGTTAAGAGTGATGTGCCACAGCGTTCAGCATTGGGACCCTTGCTGTTCACAATTTACATAAATGACATTAATGATGGAATAAATAATGACATAACTATGTTTGCTGATGACATTAAAATAGGTCATCAAGTAATTGCTGTAGACATTAGAAGGCTACAAGATGATCTGGATAAAGGAAAAAGGTATAAAATACTGACACAATGGGAAAAAAGAAACGAATGCAGTATACTGCAATCTTTTTTTTTTTAGCAACATTTCGACCACATTTTAATGAAAGTCCACTATGTGGGCAAAATGTTGTCAATAAAGAATTGCATTATAAAGCATTTGGGTCTTTTTCCATGACCTGGACAGGCTGATGTGATCAGAGCAGCAGAAGATTCAATGCAATGAAGACGAAGTGTAAGGTTCTAATTCTAGGAAAAGGAAATAACTATGGTATTTATAGGCTAAACATGATGATGATGATAATTCCTACAAATACATGTTACAACTTATACAGACATAGCTGACATCAGCATACCACACAGAAAGAAAGCCCTTGGTTATGCAGATCATTTAGGGCAACTTAGATTGAGCTTGTCCCCCAGGATGCGACCCACAAGTCAGCTAACACTCAGGTACCTACTGACTGCTTGGTGAACAAGGGCAGCAGGTGTAAAGAAACATGCCTAACATGCTGGGGATTGATCCTGGACCCCCCTTCAGTGTAAAGTGTACAAGTGGAAAACAGGAATAAAGGAGATAAAAATATGTAACCAAGAAGGATTCAAGTTGAAGAAATTTAGATTTAGAAAGGATACTGGAAGTATTAGTGTGGCACTAGAGATGTAGATGGGTGGAATAAACTTCAAAGTAGCATCACTGAGACAGGAACTTTGGGAAGCTTTAAATAAGGTGCATATATGAATAAGTGTAGGTGGGTGTGAGACCTGCTTACTTCTTTAGCATGGGCCAGTAGGCCAACAATAATAATTAATAAGTACGTAAATGACACAACTGATACAGACCTAGCTGACATCTGGAGTTTACCTGGAGAGAGTTCCGGGGGTCAATGCCCCTGCAGCCCAGTCTGTGACCAGGCCTCCTGGTGGATCAGAGCCTGATCAACCAGGCTGTTACTGCTGGCTGCATGCCATTTTATAAAGAAAGTCTCTGGTTATGCAGAGAATTTTCAGCAACTTAGGTTAATCTTGTCCTCTTAGGATAATAATAATAATAATAATATAATAATATAATAATAATAATAATAATATCTTTATTTCTACAAGTACATGTACAAGGTATACAGGCCTAGCTGACATCAATGACATACTATATAGAGAGTTGCTTGTTATGCTGAGCATTTATTTATTTATTTTTTATATGGACATGATATATAGTTGTACAAAGAAATATAGTGATTGGGTGTACATGCCAAAAGCCCCTTGTATGCAGAGCATTATGGGCACATTAGGTCAGTTTTGTCCCAGGATGCAACCCACACCAGTCGACTAACACCCAGGTATCCATTTTACACTGATGGGTGAACAGGGACAGCAGGTCTCTTGTGGAAACACATCCCTAATGTTTTCCAGCTATACCAAAGATTCAAACTCTGGACCTCAGTGTGTGAGCTGAGTGCGCTAGTGATCAAGTTACGGGACAACCCACAGCAGTTGGCTAATGCTCAGATACCTGTTTACTGCTAGGTGAACAGGGGAAGCAAGTGTAAGGAAATACATTCAGCGTTTCACCCATACCAGGGATCAATCCCCAGCACAGAGATTGATCTCCCGATCAGTTCTTAAAAAAAAAAAAAATAGAAAATATTGAGTCTTATCCAGAATTGAGCACAATTGTGTGAGACAATAATAATGGGAGACCTCAATAATGGTTTTCAGTATCAAAATAATGGATTATGTAAAAGGTAAAAACAAATTTTAGGAATAAATAGTTAATAAATTAATGCACAAATCCAGATTACACATTTCTCAACCACCGTACTTGTCCACATAGTATGTAACTGCTCTGAAAGTATTATAGTCAGTCAGGCATCATTCTCACAGGTCTCAAGTTATCATTTTATGACTTACTGCACCAGGAAAAATATTAGGGAACAAATTGGCCTGCATTGGACAATATGAGATTGACTAAAAGCTACAGTAAAGGAACACTGATAAGTAAGCTACACAATTGTGATTAACTGCAATAAGTTGCATGAAGGTAAATGATGCCTGGGAAAAATTTAGAACCATATTCATTGCCACCCTTGATGATGTTGCACCAGTGAAGAGGTTAGGATTAACCAAAGAACTGAACTCTGAATAACTGCTGAGATATTAGATATCAAATTCAGGGATCAGTTGCTGAGTTTTAGGGCAAATAGGCAGGATATTGCAACACAATATTGAATTTCAGAGACCGTTCAGTGTATAAGCTGAGGACACTACCAACCAAGCCATAAGCACACTGTCTTAATTCAAATTACAATTTTTACATTTTTTTATGCGGTACAAAAATAATGTAGTTTACTTGTAAGAAAAAACTTTCAGACACAACACAAAATCACAAGTATGCAATGTATTACCTTCCTTCCAGCCATATTTCTCAAGCTGTGCCCGGGCAAACTGTTTGCCAGTATTATACATGAGAGAGGAGTGAGTATGGCGAGGTTAATATCACGATGGCTGCCACAATTCAACACACTTGACCAACGAAGTGAAGAACATGTGCAGCCAGTCAGGAGGAAGTTGTCTTCCTATCCTTCTTCTTCAGGATAAGTGCAGTCTGTCTAGATGTTAGCTCCTCCTGATGACTACACGAGTTGTGGCGGGTTTTTCTATTCATTTTATCAGTTAAAAGTTGAGTATAGAGGCAGGAGCTGCCTGGTGACAGCCGTGTTAACACTGCCTCTAATACATGTAATAATTCCTTTTATACACACAACTATGTATTTTCAAAACGTAATAATTTCCTATAACGTGTACAACTTGTCTATAAATTTGCAATGGGGCAAATTTATGTCAAAATATATATACATAAATATTTCAAAAGAAAAAAAGTTTACAAACTCAGTAAAAGTAAATTGTTGTTGGTGTTATTAAAAGCCGTGCAGGCATGAGCCGTTTTCTTCTTCTAACCTCACATAAAATTGTTTATTATATACCCCATACCCATCCTGTGGGCGGTAGTCAAAAGATTATAGAAGTACATAATAGGTCCAGGGACTGAGCCCCCATGAACTGTTTCATACTAGGAAATACCATTTCCTGCGATACCTACTATATATTAGCTTGTGACATCACCATGCCCACGTACTAGCTCTTCCAAGAAACTAAATATACCAGGACCCTAATGAAAATAAGTCACTTTGACTTTTTGAGGGGCTATCCTAGGTGATTTATGTGGACCTGTACTAAATAAGCCATAAAGGAAGGGAACAGACTACTTGCACATGTCAAAGCCAGTCATAGTATGAACCAGTTCAAGATGACAGCCAAAAGGTGTCTGATGAATGTAGCGACAGAAAGGGACGAGAATTATTTTTTATTTTTCTAGCTAATACACATGTAAATATAAATAATTCATTTTACCTTATTCCCAGTATAATAATAATGATTATCTCCTTTATGGTAAAATAATAAATTATCCCCTTTATAGTATAATAATAAGATATTATCTCCTTTTTTAGTATAATAATAAGGTATTAAAAGGACCCCAATAAAAATAAGTCACTTAGATTTTATGGGTTATCCTAGGTTCTCTACACATATGCTGCTATGTATGATAATCTATGTAACTGTATTTATGTATACCTGAACAAACTTACTTAGTTGCTGTCCTTGGCTGGGAACCTCTCACTTTCAGGATGTTTTTGGTTACTGTGGATTGCATAGAGAGACATGTCTAGTGCACAGCACATTAGGGCGCCTTTTATCACCCGCTTTATGAATTTTAGCTCTTGAGAGAACAAGTGATGATTCAAAATCGTTGTTCCTTTGTTAATAATATTTTTTTCCGAGAATGAGGAAATTGGTTAAGTTCGTGATAACCTTTTTCCTATATGTCTAATTAATCCTGACACTGAAAGTATTACTTTCATTACTGAAGTCTGTCAGCCTCACCTGACAGACTTCAGTGTCGTCCACACAACCTGCCCAGGGAACTTATATACTCAAATATCAAATATATTGATCATGTATTAATATTTACTTTGTTCGTGTAATCATTAATATATCATACGTAGTGAAGTAATCTATGTGATAGGTTGGTCATTGGTGGTTTATGAAAAAAAAAAAAAACATTGTAACAATAATGGCACTAACAATCCTTACACTGCTCACACTAACAATGACAGCCATAATAATAAATATAACAACCATAGTGGAATTGTCTCTTTCAGTCAGTGATGCCTTGTTTCATACCAGTGATGCCTTGTTTCATACCAGCGATGTCTTGTTTCATACCAGCGATGTCTTGTTTCATACCAGCGATGTCTTGTTTCATACCAGCGATGTCTTGTTTCATACCAGCGATGTCTTGTTTCATACCAGCGATGTCTTGTTTCATACAGCGATGTCTTGTTTCATACCAGCGATGTCTTGTTTCATACCAGCGATGTCTTGTTTCATACCAGCGATGTCTTGTTTCATACCAGCGATGTCTTGTTTCATACCAGTGATGCCTTGTTTCTTACCAGTGATGCCTTGTTTCTTACCAGTGATGCCTTGTTTCTTATCAGTGATGCCTTGTTTCTTACCAGTGATGCCTTGTTTCTTACCAGTGATGCCTTGTTTCTTACCAGTGATGCCTTGTTTCTTACCAGTGATGCCTTGTTTCTTACCAGTGATGCCTTGTTTCTTACCAGTGATGCCTTGTTTCTTACCAGTGATGCCTTGTTTCTTACCAGTGATGCCTTGTTTCTTACCAGTGATGCCTTGTTTCTTACCAGTGATGCCTTGTTTCTTATCAGTGATGCCTTGTTTCTTACCAGTGATGCCTTGTTTCTTATCAGTGATGCCTTGTTTCTTACCAGTGATGCCTTGTTTCTTACCAGTGATGCCTTGTTTCTATCAGTGATGCCTTGTTTCTTACCAGTGATGCCTTGTTTCTTACCAGTGATGCCTTGTTTCTTATCAGTGATGCCTTGTTTCTTACCAGTGATGCCTTGTTTCTTATCAGTGATGCCTTGTTTCTTACCAGTGATGCCTTGTTTCTTACCAGTGATGCCTTGTTCTTACCAGTGATGCCTTGTTTCTTATCAGTGATGCCTTGTTTCTTATCCCGTGATCCTTGTTTCTTATCAGTGATGCCTTGTTTCTTACCAGTGATGCCTTGTTTCTTACCAGTGATGCCTTGTTTCTTATCAGTGATGCCTTGTTTCTTACCAGTGATGCCTTGTTTCTTACTAGTGATGCCTTGTTTCTTATCAGTGATGCCTTGTTTCATACCAGTGATGCCTTGTTTCATACCAGCGATGTCTTGTTTCTTACCAGTGATGCCTTGTTTCTTACCAGTGATGCCTTGTTTCTTACCAGTGATGCCTTGTTTCTTACCAGTGATGCCTTGTTTCTTACCAGTGATGCCTTGTTTCTATCAGTGATGCCTTGTTTCTTACCAGTGATGCCTTGTTTCTTACCAGTGATGCCTTGTTTCTTACCAGTGATGCCTTGTTTCTTACCAGTGATGCCTTGTTTCTTATCAGTGATGCCTTGTTTCTTACCAGTGATGCCTTGTTTCTTACCAGTGATGCCTTGTTTTTACCAGTGATGCCTTGTTTCTTACCAGTGATGCCTTGTTTCTTACCAGTGATGCCTTGTTTCTTACCAGTGATGCCTTGTTTCTTATCAGTGATGCCTTGTTTCTTACCAGTGATGCCTTGTTCTTACAGTGATGCCTTGTTTCTTACCAGTGATGCCTTGTTTCTTATCAGTGATGCCTTGTTTCATACCAGTGATGCCTTGTTTCATACCAGTGATGCCTTGTTTCATACCAGTGATGCTGTTCATACCAGCGATGTCTGTTTCTACCAGTGATGCCTTGTTTCTTACCAGTGATGCCTTGTTCTTACCAGTGATCCTTGTTCTTACCAGTGATGCCTTGTTTCTTATCAGTGATGCCTTGTTCTTCACAGTGATGCCTTATTCTTACTAGTGATGCTTGTTTCTTATCAGTGATGCCTTGTGTTCTTACCAGTGATGCCATGTTTCTTATCAGTGATGCCTTGTTTCTTACAGTGATGCCTTGTTTCTTACCAGTGATGCCTTGTTTCTTATCAGTGATGCCTTGTTTCTTACCAGTGATGCCTTGTTTCTTACAGTGGTGCCTTGTTTCTTCCAGTGATGCCTTGTTCTTACCAGTGATGCCTGTTCCTTACCAGTGATGCCTTGTTCCTTACCAGTGATGCCTTGTTTCTTACCAGTGATGCCTTGTTTCTTACCAGTGATGCCTTGTTTCTTACCAGTGATGCCTTATTTCTTACTAGTGATGCCATTTTTTTTACCAGTGATGCCTTGTTTCTTACCAGTGATGCCTTGTAACTTAACAATGATGCCTTATTTCTTACTAGTGATGCCTTTTTTTTGCCAGTGATGCCTTGTTTCTTACCAGCGATGCCTTGTTTCTTAGGGTTCCAGTCAGTGATGCAACCTAGTGTTCCAACCAGTGATGCAACCTAGTGTTCCAACCAGTGATGCAACCTAGTGTTCCAACCAGTGATGCAACATAGTGTTCCAACCAGTGATGCAACATAGTGTTCCAGACAGTGATGCAGCCAAATGTTCCAGCCAATTATGCAACTTAGTGTTCCAGCCAGTGATGCAACATAGTGTTCCAGCCAGTGATGCAACATAGTGTTCCAGCCAGTGATGCAGCCAAATGTTCCAGCCAGTGATGCAACATAGTGTTCCAGCCAGTGATGCAACATAGTGTTCCAGCCAGTGATGCACCCAAGTGTTCCAGCCTGTGACACAGCCTTGTGTTCCGGCCAGTGATGCAACATAGTGTTCCAGCCAGTGATGCAGCCAAGTGTTCCAGCCTGTGACACAGCCTTGTGTTCCGGCCAGTGATGCAACATAGTGTTCCAGCCAGTGATGCAACATAGTGTTCCAGCCAGTGATGCAGCCAAGTGTTCCAGCCTGTGACACAGCCTTGTGTTCCAGCCAGTGATGCAACATAGTGTTCCAGCCAGTGATGCAGCCAAGTGTTCCAGCCTGTGACACAGCCTTGTGTTCCGGCCAGTGATAGAGCTTACTGTTCCAGCCAGTGATGCAACATAGTGTTCCTGACAGTGATGCAACATAGTGTTCCAGCCAGTGATGCAACCTAGTGTTCCAGACAGTGATGCAACATAGTGTTCCAGCCAGTGATGCAACATAGTGTTCCAGCCAGTGATGCAACATAGTGTTCCAGACAGTGATGCAACATAGTGTTCCAGCCAGTGATGCAACATAGTGTTCCAGACAGTGATGCAGCCAAGTGTTCCAGCCTGTGACACAGCCTTGTGTTCCGGCCAGTGATAGAGCTTAGTGTTCCAGCCAGTGATGCAGCCTAGTATTCCAGCCGGTGATGCAGCTTAGTATTCCAGCCGGTGATGCATCCAAGTGTCCCAGCCAGTGACGGAACCTGGACCCTGGCCACGAGTCATTCATCACCACCCAGAAGACTGAATAAACTTTGGCTGTGATACCTGTTTATCATTCACCCAAACTCAAAAAAATCGATTGTAAACATTATCAGTGTTTAATATTAACAGGACAATTAAATGTGAGAGCAATAATACAGTATAGAGTATATATTGACATTAAATACTGATGCTGCTTTGGTCACCAAATAATGCTGCCCTGAATCAAACCTAGTCAGGTTCGATTCAGGCTCTTTATGACCCCTGTGGGTTTAGAACTACACAATAATGATAGTGCTGTACGTGATTATTTTAAGAAGGTAAGTAACCTCTCCTTTCTGAAGGACGAGTCCAGGTACAGTTTGTAAATCACGGTAATGTCAAAAACGAAAGCCGTGACCCATGGGGGTTCAGCGCTGTGACCCATGGGGGTTTAGTGCTGTGACCCATGGGGGTTTAAAGTTTCCCCCATGAATAATAATGCAC